GGGGTAATCCCCGTTTACCCCCGTTTATCCCCGTCGCCTGTGCACATAGGGAGTAAACTACTTAGCTTAAACACCTATCTGCCAGCAGAGTTCACGCAAAGGTGTAGAAGTGTAAGTGAACTTGACTCATGGAAAGGTACTGAGTACAGACAATTTTTGCTGTACACAGGAGTTGTTGTCCTAAAGGACATTTTGCCAGCAAAGAACTTCATGCATTTTCTACTGCTGTTTGCTGCGATGAGGTTGCTGGCGTCACCCACCTTGTGTGCCGAAAACATTGGGTATTGTAGTGGACTTCTAAGAATATTTACAACGCAATTTCCCACGCTTTACGGAAATGAAAGCATGGTTTACAAGGTCCACAGCTTAATGCACATTGCCGATGACGTTGAACGTCATGGACCACTAGACAGCTTCTCGTCATTTCCTTTTGAGAGTTATCTAGGTAAACTAAAGGCATATCAACGAGGTCCTCCAAAGCCACTCCAGCAAATAGCCAATCGACTAGCCGAGGAAGATTCACTCGCTCGAAGTCCTGCGACACGAAGACCTGAACGACTTATACACAAACACACTAGAGGGCCAATTCCCGAAGGCCTTGATGTCCTCGAGCAGTTCAGATGTTCACTTGGAGAGCGTTATAGGGTAGATACATCTATGGCAAATGGATGCATAACGATCGGGGAAAATATAGTATTGGTTAAAAATATTTTACGGGACCACAGAGGATTAGTTTACGTAGTTTATAACGAATTTATAACGAATTTGTATACACTTATCCTGAGGAATCTCGTCTGTTAAATGTTTACAAAGCTGAGATTTCCACTACTACCAAGTAAGCCAAACTACCCAGCTATTTTTTCTAAATATGTATGCGTACCCGCGGAAGGGTTCTATATTCTGATTGAAATAATCGACACTTAACTTACTAACACTTAATCGTAATTGTACTACGCGGTTTGCTTAAATATCTAACCAAACCCTACAGCCACATAGTACCATTGTAAGTGGTTAAAAACCAAACCGATAAATCATTAAGCCACTTAACAGTGTTTTCCTGTGTGGTTGTAGATGGATCGCAACGACGACGACAGTACACATGAACGGCCGCGTAGAAATATTAGAAATCCGTACGATTCAAGAGAATGGTCTCTTGGTGACCCTCCATTGTCCCTCGAGGTAGGTTTTCGGTTATTATTTTATATACTACGTAGGACGAACCACACCAGGATTCAGACAACGAATCCACTCATACATGACCAGTCCGTTCAACGTACACCTTTCACAGCCAAGGTAATTTATATCGTCTTTCACTACCAAAGTATTTCCAACCGACCATGGCCTACGCGCCACTCTCTACGCATTGGCCGAGGGACAACGAGCTATGCAAAGAGATACAAACCTCGTAAAGCGCCAGTTACTCTGGCTGATCAAAGGAAATCAGAGGTTGCACCGCCGCCTGCGTGGGGCGGAGGTAGCTGCCACTGGCAGACGTGCAGCAGTCGCTGATGTCGGGGAAGCTGTCCCACGCAATCTCCTTAATGCCCCCATTGCCAGTGTTGCTGACCTCGACGAGGTTCATATGTGACTTATGGACCCCCTCTATCGCCGAAGACTAGTAAGGTGTTTGCTCCTGTTTATGTTACACATTCAGGTTGCATTTCTCTCCAGCGTTGTAGGGCGAAACATTGAGGATTTCTTCCGCCGGGTCTTCCAATCGATTATCGACGATGACATTACACTGTACGTTAATTTCTCCGGCAAAACCGCCAAACGAGCGCTTCGAGAGACGATAATCTACGACGCCATACGTGGTTTGTTTCATTATAATATTTCTAACCACTTGCGCATTAGAGGCATACGCCCTGTGGAATGGAGAACCAGTTAATGTCTCGGAATTGGAAGACGCCCTGCGCCGCCGATTTAAGCGGTCCTTGGATGCATATAGGAAAAGGCGCACGAGGGAAGGGTCGTCAAACGAAGATGACCAAGGTTCGAAATATCACTGATGCCACTTTATTTTCTCACATTAACCTACGCCTGGACCCTTGACGCAAGCATAAAAAAGAGGGACAGCGTCGGACAGATGTAGTTTTAAAGGCCTCTGTAATATTATTTTTCTACTAAACATATTTTTAATAATATATATACCGGCTTTGCCTTCTTTTTATTGTGGGGGGTTCGGTCGCATTACGCTAAAGGTACCTATGCTCGGTCGCCCTCTGCCGCGACTTTACGCTACAGATTCCGCCGCGACTTGTCGACGAAGATTCCGGCGCGACAGAGGTGACAAAATCGAGCGTAAATCCGGCCTAAAATGTGCGACATGTCGCACCGGATTCCATGGTTGATTCCGGTTGGAAATGTTACCAGGGTTCGCTTGACGAAAATACCAAGGAATTGCAGTTGCTGATGATCTTCCTCCTTTGTGAATTTGTCAGGAAAGATCCTAATGAACAAGTTATGTATGTTTTAGAGAATAGTCGACAGCCAAATGCTGGCCTGTCCGAGATATTCTACTAAAAATCTATTGATGTAGTGGCCTTTAAAACCGTCTGAATCGGTTAACATGGATTGGCATACTAAGTGACCTTTCTACTAGAAAACAGACTGTGCTTAGACAAGAAAAACGGGGTTATAACGTGAGAACCTTAGCAAAATATAAATATTACACTTACTATCAAATATCTATAAGCTTACGGGTAAAGAAGACATTAATATCCCAGCAATAACTGTTCTCTTTTTCAAGGTTCACCGCAAGGCGATGAGTACCGCATGTGGCCACCAAAATCCTCACAGCAATCCGTTTATTTAATTATCCACCTCTGCGGTCTGCTTAATATCCCTGATAGCAAAAAGCTAGCGCCGTTGCGCTACTCTGTGAGCACGTGATTAACCCCCCCCCACTCGCACTTGTCACAGGTGTAACGTCCGAGAGGGGAAGGCATGTTGGATTGCAAGAGACCGGGATTGGAATCAGAGGTGCTGGAGCGGGTCGAGGAATTTCTTGAAAGATATTTCCTAAAAGAGCGTCCATCTCATCGAATGGAGATGTGTGATTATCACTGAAGGGATTCATATCGAATAATGAAAATATAATTGTATGAATAATGTTTATTAAATGTTAACGAACTGATAGTAAATCGTAGGAAGGAATGGTAGAAGAAAAACGTCGGACTTATCAAATGCGGGGATAGAAGGAGCACTGTAGCGCCCTCCACTCGTAGGGTATGTTCTGATGTTTCTTCGTGCGTCTTC